CAATGACATCTTCTCCTTAGCTTCTTCAATCTACTTATCAATGTTCCCATACACCTCCTTATTCCAAAGTTTTAGGAACCCTTTCAACAATTTTAATTTTTCCTTGCAACTAAATCCACTCCACCCAACTTAGAATGAATCCCACTTCTCTTGAATGATATCTTTAAACCCAGGGTATTCTAACCACCCATCTACCAATTTAAATGGTCTAGGGCCCCAATCTTGTTGTTTGTTTGATTTAAATGGCCTAGGATTTAAATGTTTCTCCTTTATGATCAATTCAATCCACTCTTTCTTTCTTTGTGTCTTAATTTGTCATCTATTTGAGATTTTTGAGGATAGAAAAAGTCAACAGTTTTGCAGGCCGGTAAACCCTAGAATGGGAGGGGACTGTATCCAAAGGCCAGCGGATTCCAATCCCCACATGGTGGACTTCACATCATATATGTGGGATAGAAATGAGTATGTTGAAAACCAGAATTCAGGCTAGAGTGGAAGAAAAAGAAGCAGTTTGAAGAATCTGTGTAATCTTTCTGACGCCGATTCCGGCCGTGATGCTGGTTAGACCAAGTCATCACATGCATATGTTTATCCGTAAAGGCATCAACTTCAAGTCTAGCCCCACAGTTTTGATGCCATATTCTCTTCCCAAAAATAAAAGGCTATGACAAGTTTCGGGGTATGGTTATGGACAAACAACAATTGAATTAAGAGCATGTTTGGGTTAGCTTGTAAGAGCTTTTACTTTTTTTGTACTGTTTATGAGTGATAAGTTTAAATTTTTATTGGAGGAAAAATTTAAAAATTGCTTTTAGAGGTAGGAAAAAGTGAGTAAAAAAAAAGTTTATGAAAAAATTTGGATTTAAAACTTTTGAGTTTTTACTGTTTAGGATCTTTTTAATGTTAAAAAAAATTTAAAAATGTAAGTTTTTAAGAGGAAAATTTAAACTTATGAAACATGAATAGTATCAAAAAGTTTAAGCACTTGAAAGCTGAACCAAACATGCTCTAAGATTACATCAATTTGTTAATATTATTTATAAAAATAAAGGTTTTGTTTGATTTAATTATTAAGAATAATTGATATTTATTACTTAATATGTTAAAATTAATTTATAAATTAATAAAATATTAATTAATAAAACTAAATAAAATCAATATAATTTGTATGGCCTTTGCATATTTATTGTGATAATCTCTCCCCAAGCTTAGATGATGGGAGTCCGACTCGACGCCCTACTTACACTCACACGTGGTGTGTTCAACCGTCCAAGAATAAAACACTATTGATTCTAATGCTATATAATGTGAGACCAAGAGTCCAAGTCAATATGAGTTCACAAGTTGGTCAAATTGTCTTAATACTTGCGTTTCATCGTATTCCGTTTTAATCATAAAGTTCGAGCTATTTTTGCCTTAATTTGGTGGGTATAATCAGACTCCATTTTGAACTAAAAATTTTAAGTAATTAAATGATATAGTTCAAATTAATTTAACTTATTAAATTCATGGATAGACATCTTATATGAAACACTATTGATTCTGATATTATTTATTGTGAGATGGAGCAACGACCATACGAACAAGCAAGTCCTAATATAGGTGCATATCATCAAACTCTCTTTTCTTTTTCAATGAATAATGTTGAATTAATAATGGAGGCAAAGCAATTACAATCATCAGGCACCATTTTGATCACAAAGTTTGAGTTATTGTTGTCTCCAATATCTCTCTTTACAGCTGTGTAGCACATAGGACTGTGAAAGTATGTCACTTGTTTTGCTTAAAGTGAAAAAGAAAGATTTCCAACGACTCTCACTACTTCCAAGTATGGAACTTGGTTGCAAATTGATGGAAGAGCACTAGTTAAATAAATTATGAGATGCACTCTAATTAGATGATTATTGTGGTAGAAACGAGGGTGCTTTTCTGCTTAAAGGTCCATAAATAATTGTCTTGGAAGAACATCAGAGACTTCCCATAATTAGGGCCAAAATGTTAATTTATTGATTAAAATAAAAGAAATAAATAAAGGAAAAGAGAAGAAAGAGAGTGCATGGTAGGACAACTAAATTGTAGAGAGGAAGCTGATGCCGCTGCAAAAGCATGTAAGTGTAAAGAATGAACTAAAGGCTGAAATGTAAAACTAAACTTAAAGAAAGTTAGGAAGATGAATTTAAAACAAAGTATAGTAAATTGAATTGTAGAAATGAAATAGATCAATGGAGATATTCAAAACAAAATAACAAAAACAACAGTTAAAACTAGTAGCAACATAGAGTTAACGACTAAACTAGGAAAGTTATTTGGGAAAACTAGATCTAAACTAAGATATTATTTGAGAAAATTGAAATGTAGATAGCGCTAGGCTAGTTGTGTGAGAGGCAAGCCCCCTTGCTTGCTTAATCTCATCATTGTATTTGTAGCACCTTGGTAGCATGGTGAAGTTCTACTAGCAGCATCTTGAAAACCAACAGTAGCGTAAAATCTACAACAAATTGACTAACTCGTTGGTGCTATTGATCATGCTCTTGAAAATATGCAACCACTGAGCTACTTTATTGATGATGTGGCAACAAACATCCACATTAATTATGGGGGAAAATTAGTCCTTGAGCTTGACTCAGTTAATGTCTTAATGAGATCACTACATTGCAATTGCTGGTAGCACATTTTGACTCCAAATAAATTCAGAACAAATGGGACATGTGACTCCTTTTAATTAATTTGTAAAATTGAGTGTAAATAGTTATTTATGTCTTACTAAGTTACAAATATCTTCTAACTTGGTGGGCATCATATTTATTGGTCATCTATGCATTGTACCCCCTCTAATTAGGTTTAGTTTGACGGTGTTGTGTTGCACTTTGTTGTAG